TTAGATGTTATTACTGTTTTTCTTAGTTCATATCTTAGATGTTATTACTGTTTTTCTTATACATTTTATTGTTGGATGTAACTGGGACCCTGTGAACATAATTTCGCTCCACCACATGTACCACATGAGGTGCGAATGACAATAAAGAATGTCTGACTCTGATATATCGTAACTAAAGTTTACTTACGTACAACTAATTGTATTTAGGGACACTAAGCTGCTACAGGTTCCGTAGAATTTGCAGGTGGGGACTTGAACCCTTACTGCTCAAGGTTTATGAATGTTCAACCTCGTGGCCCTAAATTAAGTAATATAAACAAAACGTTTTCTTTTCAAATTGCTGAATCTATTCAAACATTTCTCAATGGGACAAGCCAAAAAGTGTGAGGGTGATTTTCCTGAATGATCTTTTAGACACAAGATAAGACTTTTGGGAGTTTTTATCATAAATAAGTCTAAAACAGGCAGTTCTGGTTAATTAATTTAACCAGTTTACAGTTTATTGAACAGAACCATTTAACAGTTAATTTTATTAGAAAGTGGGGAATAAATAAAACACTTGATTCTCTTTGCCCCTCCCGACCTAGAGGAGATCCCACTATAATAAAAGTAGACACAGACTTTGCACAATATCCTTTTTAATACAACAAAGGTTAGTACTGACTAACCCCAACCTAACCAGTACTCCTCAGTCCCAACTGAAAATATAGAGCTGACATTGTGCTTCTTCAGGGAACGGGGCCTTTAAGGTCAGTGAGAAAGTAAAAAAGTAAACAACACATGCACACCTCGTCAGTCAAACATTATCTAAGGCCAAGTTTCTTCTTCTCTTTCTGTTTCTTGCGAACCACCTCAATATTGCGGTCCTTCCACATGCTCTTCCTCAGTTTGATAGGACGACTCCCAACATACTTCCCTGAATAAACACAAAGAACACCAAGGTTGAAAAGAAAGAAAACTAAGAAACAATCCGAACTCTGCCCCCTCAGAGTATGGGATACTAACCATTCATCTCTCTCATGGCTCTGACATAGTCATTGGGATCCTTAAAACTAACAAAACCATAACCTTTTGTCTTCCCAGTACGTTTATCTCGGACCACCTGAAAAAACAAGCACAACAATCATTATTATTATTATGACTGTAACCTATGAAGAATTATTATTAAAACCTTTTTTAAGGGCACATTATTTACAATAATGGACTGTACTCCTTTCTATCTTATCAACACACTCAAAGTGTTTTACAACAATCTGTGTCCTCATTTACCCGTTCATACAGCACTCTACTATTTCTGTACAAAGAATAATTGATGCTTTAGATCACATGCACCAATGGGACACACATGGGAGGCAATGAGGGGTTCAGTGTCTTGCCCTGGGACACTTCGGCATGTGACTGCTGGTGGATTCGAACCCCCAACTCTTGCATTGGAGGACGACTGCTCTAAGCGTTCAGTCACAGCCACTCCAATAAGGCATATATTGTGTCATTTTCTGGCAGTTTTTGTCCAGTGTTTCTGTACAGTGCCTCGGGACGACTTCTGTTGTGAATTGGCCCTATATAAATAAACTGAATTGAATTGAATTGGTACTAGGCTGTGCTGTTTGTTTCCCAGTCTTTGGAGTTTATTTTACTTTAAAACATATTTGACATAATATCAAAAACAAGTTTAATCTAAACCATCAACATTTGCTAAATACTTTTCAAACCAGACTGTTTTAAGAGGTGGTTCAGGCATCTGGTAAAGATTGCTAGGAATAAAATAACCTTGATGATAAATGGTGGAAAATAACATAATATGAATTGGTGAATATAAAGTTTAATTATGAATTATGGAAAACAAATCATATAAAGATGGCTAGAATTTCTGTTACATGTGGCCATAAGCCGATAAATAATACCTTTTCAAGAACTGCTAACTTTAAAACCAAACCATGACACTTTCTGTTGTCAGTAGGAAAATAGTTACTTATTTCTAACGAGGCCTTTAATGACAAACAAAACATCAAAAAGGTTCTTGCTCAGGTAACTGAAGTTAAATTATATCCTGATGCATGCTCAATATTCCAGGTAGAAAAATCCAAAAAAGTTCAATCTGGTCCTCTGGACATTCAAAAAAACAAAAAACAAAACAAAGCAAAAAAATATAGAAACGTTTCGTCTCTCATCCAAGAGACTTCCTCAGTCTGAGGTGCTGTATTCAGCTCAGTCTCTTAAATAGCACCTTCTCAGAGTGGATCAACCAGTTTGCTGCTGACAACCAAAACCAGCTGATCACATGCTCAAGAAGGACCATCAGCCTAACAATGGGTCATTAGCACCTGATGGCTGTTTACTGTTCACAGAGGGCTGAGTGATACTAGCAATCACAGCATTGTAAGAGGGGGACAGTTGAACCTGGAGGCTCCACCCCTGTTTAATGATGGACGATTTCTTTTCACAAAGATGGCCTCCTTTACTCCTCTCTCAAACCATCGTTCCTCTCTGTCCAGGATGTGAACATCTTCATCCCTGAAAGAGTGACCGCTGGCCTGGAGATGAGTGTAGACCTCAGAGTCCTGGCCTGATGATGTTGATCTTCTGTGCTGGTCCATCCTTTTGGCCAGTGGCTGTTTAGTTTCCCCGATGTAAGACTGATCACAGCCCTCCTGACACTGAACAGCATAAACAACATTACTCTGTTTGTGCCGGGGGACTGGATCTTTGGGATGAATCAGTCTTTGCCGTAATGTATTTTGGGGTTTAAAAGCCACTGGGACGTTATGTTTAGAAAATAAACGTCTCAGTTTCTCTGATACCCCCTCAACATATGGAATGACCACTGGTCTGGGTCTGGGTTCCTCCTTTTCACCTGATGGCTGACTGGAGTCCTGTTTGGGTTTCTTCTCTGCTTTCAGGAAGGCCCAGTTAGGATATCCACATTGCTCTAGAGCCTGTCTTGTGTGGGATTTCTCCTTCTGCCTGGCTCCTGAGTTAGTGGAGACACTGTCTGCTCTGTGGTACAGAGTCCTGATGACTCCTAACTTGTGCTCCAAAGGGTGATGGGAGTCAAACTGCAAATACTGGTCTGTGTGGGTGGGTTTGCGGTACACCTCAGTTTGCAAATGTCCTCTATCAGAGACTGAGACCTCACAGTCCAAGAAAGCCAACTTGCCATTTTGTACATCTTCTCGTGTGAACTTGATGTATTTATCCACAGAGTTGATGTGGTCAGTAAAATGTTGGACTTCCTGAGATTTGATTTTAACCCAGGTGTCGTCAACATACCTGAACCAATGACTTGGTGGTGTCCCTGAAAAGGACATCAAGGCTCTCTTTTCTACCTCCTCCATGTACAGGTTGGCAACAATAGGAGAAACTGGAGACCCCATAGCACACCCATGTTTCTGCCTATAATATTGCTCCCCATATGTGAAGTAGGTTGACTGCAGGCACAGTTTCAAGAGTTGACACAGTTGTTCTGTGGAAAGCGTGGTCCTGCTGCTCAGAGTGGTGTCTGATTT